TATTTTTAACTAGGTTTAGAAATTTACCATCAATATTGTACGATAACATTTTATGCCATAGTCCAATTCTCCACACGTTGTCAAAGGCTTTCGTAAAATCTATAAATGTACAATACAATTTCTTTTTACTAGTTTTAAACATATGACAAAATACATGAAGTGCGAATATATTGTCTACAGTCTAAAATCTTTGTCGGAATCCCGCATGTGCACTTGACAAAATGTTATTTGATTCTAAAAATTATTAAGAATGCATGTAAATAATTTCCCGAAACAGCTAAGTATGGTAATAAGACGGTATGAGTTGGGGTTTAATGGTAACCAGCAGATTAACTCTTTGTTTTGACAACTAATATGTTGTCCCACACTGGGCCCACGTTCACACCTTCTTAACGAGTTGTCCCGGAGTGGACCCTGAATTTGGTTATTACGTAATATACAGAGAGGCCACAATGCAGGGAATACACCCACAAATGATAGTGTTAAAACACATGCTCGTGATATAGTCAAAATCCAGCACAAGAATCTGCCTTATGATTTTGGAAATGGCTTTGTCGCTTTTTTCTAAGAAACCTGTATCCGTCTGGTGAGACACACGGAAGGCGACGCCACATGCTCTGTACACTCAAGGGGAAACGTCTTATTGACAAAAAGTCTTTACAGAGTTACAACCAACTAAATATATTTGAAACACCTCTTGTCCAAACTGACCATTTCAGCCTGATGACATTTTATACCATTGCGTTAGAACAAAGCCATTGCAAATATTCACATCTCATTTGGGAATCTATATATACTATGAATTGTGAGTACTTCTGTGCCATCCTGCCGACATGGTTTCCGTAATTAAAAATGATTCCATTACACACTGTACATATTAAACTTCAATGACATCAATGCACCGCCATAAATATATCGGTGTGTGTGTGTGTGTGTGTGTGTGTGTGTGTGTATGTGTGTGTGTGAAAGAGAGAGAGAGGGGGGAGGCAGAGAGAGGGGGTGGGGGTGGTGGTCTACGAGTAGTATTCCATTGCACTCTATCCATTTCTTTCAGATCATTACATGAAGGTGTATCTTGCGGCTGGCCATGGGGTTTCACGTCGTCACGACATTGTTGGTCCTATGGCTGCAGTTCCTGTCTGCAGATGGTATGAAGCTTGTCCTTACTCCATGTACTACGTATGGCATTGTTACTGTAATAACACCAGTGGTTACTTTATGCCCCTCATGGTATTGAACTTCACAGGCAAACTGCAGAGGGTTAATATTCAGAATACTGGTTTATTCAGCTGGTAAGGACATGGTCGAAGGTAGCACAGTTTGTCGTGCCAGAAACCGTCGGGTCTGAACCCCAAATCTGCCGCAATTTTGCGATTCATTCTGTTGGTTCATTTTTATTTGAATTTGTGAAAATATATTATCTGGTCAGTTTCTATCTCTTTGACATCAACGGGAGATTTAAATTAATTACACTATTTAAGGATTCTTTTTTTTTAAAGCTTACTGTTGAAGATAAATAATATACCAACAGAATATATAAAAATACGAGATTAATAAATATTATGAATAATAAATATGCTGTTTCATCGACTTACAGTTCTGGATAGGTTCTCACCTGATTGTTTACAGACCTTGTCTGTAATACTGCCTCAACCAAACACATACCTATGATATGTCAGAATTGTACAATTGACTGCTTTTAGCAATTATTTCTTACGGATGTGGAAAGGGCTTTGTCGTCTCTATTTATATACAGTCACGAAATTTCATTTATACGTTTCTTACCCTGGCTTCTAACCGGGTTGTTCAGTTACAATAACGTGGTGTAGAGAGTTGACTGGGAAACTCACCGTGTAAATTGCTCAACTTGTCATCTTACTTATCAAACTGTGAGCACCTTGTAGGTCATATAATCACAGATAACTTCTTCAGTTTTGACTGTATTAATCTTCGTCAAGTACTCAGTTATGGAACAAACTGGTGGTGGTCCGATTAATTGAAATAATCAAAGATCGGTCGCAGTGACTAACATAAACAATTTTTTAACACTTTTTTGCATTAACAACATTTTTCACAGCGTTGGTTTTGTCTGTGTCATTAAATTCACATTTCATAAGCACTACGAGCTCGTTCCAAGTCGTGATTGAATTTATCTTAAAGACTCCAGGTAATTTATGTTCCTAACATACTAGTCCTTCTTTAAAGATGTGAAATTTGCAAATGTATTTTGTGCTATTTGGAAAAAAACACCCCCCAAAAAACATATTTTAACTTTATTTTTTGTGCATTTACCAACATAACAGGACAGTTTGATAAATGACGCTAACCAATTATTTTCGATGATCGATATGTTGTAATGAACCAATCATCAATTATGAGATTTTAACCAGTTCCCAACACTAGAACTAAACCCATCGTGAATAGCCTATTTAAAGCCAGTATGCTAACGGAGGAAGGAATCTGCCAAAATCATTAAAAACTTTAATACATGCCCATTCTTCATTTGCACTGGATTCCAAAGCTCGAAGGAAATGTGTACAAAGAGAAATATTTTGCTGGGTCCAGAATGTATGTCCCAAAATCATTGTCTCAAAGATTATCCTATAATACTAAAACATCTTCCACAATACTATATTTTCATATACACTGAAAGTATTTGAGACACATGAAAATTGTAGCATGTGGATTCTCAAAAACTCGAAGCATCTGCTCAAGGTTTTGCAATCCGAGAAAAGGATGCAGTTCAATTCTGTCAAAACATTTATCACTTTGTTGACCACTATCCCTCATGACAAACTTTAGGGATAGCTTCATTCCACAAGGCATGGTGCATTTGTTAGTATACGTTTATATTGTTACTTTCTTCAAAGGTTCAGGACAATTTATCAAAAACGAAAGGAAAAGTCATCTGAAGTTTATTGAGAAAGTATGTCAATTTCTGGACTTGCTCATTGATAACATCTATGTAAATGTCGGGGTAAAGCACTTGGAAAATCATAGGCATCACCATGGGCACCAATTGTGTTTTTTCTCAATCGGCGCTGCTTTAGAAGAGCCTTCTTGTTGATGTGGAAAGAGTTTTGTCTCTTTTGTTCCTGTCTCTCTCGAATGAGCAGCCATAACACTGCGCACTAGTGGAGCTGTTAAGACTGAGTGATATGCTCTGTAACACTACATTATTCAAGATATATATTATATATGTATATATATTACAGAGATCTGTAATACTTGAAGAGGACATCCATCAGACCACATCAGTGTATTTCAATGAAACATGATAATATATTTATCAGTATCTATGAATTTTATCTCTAATATATATATATTGGGGCGTTTCGGTAGCCTAGTGTTTAAAGCGTTCGCTCGTCACGCCGAAAATACTGGTTCGATTCCCCACATAGGTACAATATATGAAGCCCATTTCTGGTGTCCCCCGCCATGATATTGCTGGAATATTGCTAAAAGCGGTGTGAAACCATACGCACTCACTCTAATAGGGACACATTTTGCTTTTAAGGAGGAAAATGGACATACGTCGATGTTGCTTACAGCTACGTAAGAGGTTACGACTTCGGCCACGAACCAATTGACCAGACGTACATCCGAGGCGAGATAAAGGCATGTCAAAGTATGGAAGTTTACATTTCCGACAACGACGACTGGGACAACTACGCATACTTCCAACTCGACTACTACCAGTCCTACACCGCTATACTTGACGGAAGCTCCTATGTCAACTGGATCTATGACCTAGTGCTCCAGTGTAACACATGGAAGCAAGTGTGGTTTGCCTGGGACGGTACTTCCTTCTCCATGGGGCGGGGATTGGAGAGAGATGTTGACACGCTTTTGACTGCTGATTTTGGGAGGTCATTCAACAAGAACATCCTCATCTTAGCATCCTTGTCTACAGAGGCATCCGGCACATGGAGATGGCTGACAGGTAATCTCAAGATAACTGTAAACCCTAATCTCGTTTATCCAGACAACCTTGTCTGAAATTCTGTTTGTGCTATTGACCTTGTCTCGAGTTGTGTTTGTGCTTTTGACCTTTTCGCGAGTTCTGTTTGTGCTATTGAATAAAGTGTAATGCGTTGTGGAATTTTGCCCTTTTGAACTAATGTTCCCCCTAATTGTGTTAAATATATATGTATATATATCAGGTGACTGTGTATATTGTTTCTATATTGTTTCTGTGTATATAATTTATGCATATCATCTTCATATTGCATATTCAGTATCTATCAACACCAACATATACTCATCCAAAAATATTCAAGTATTATATGGATCATAATTTGACCTATTAAATACTTTAATATTGAAAACTGGGGTGGTCTGAAACTGTGTTGAGTATATATCTATATCTCTGCTCTCAGATGAGCCTCCTCTCTTCAACCTCCCATCACCTGACGGAACTGAAACCATCACGATACCGGAGGACACAGCGCAGTACTCGCCGCTGTACGCCGTAGGGGCCACGGACCCCGAGGGCGACGACATCACCTACGGAACTGAGGATCCGAATTCCAATATTTTCGAGGTTCGTGAAAATATTAACCTGTGTGAATTCCGCCACATCTGTTATGTAAAATGAAATATATGTAATGTGTAGAATAAATGAATGAATGCATGCATACATACATACATACATACATACATACATACATACATACATACATACATACATACATACATACATACATACATACATACATACATACATACATACATACATACATACATACATACATACATACATACATACATACATACATACATACATACATACATACATACATACATATCGTACTGTGACCTGTTCTTCTATTGCCCTTCATCATATCATCAAAAGGAAGCACAGTTTGCTCGTTTAAGAATTAAATGTGTACCTGATTCTATTCTTGAAGGTGCATTACGGGTATATCTACCTGATGCAAGCCCTCGACTACGAGACGCAAGGCCGGAACATGCTCATCACAGTAACGTGAGTAACTTGATCAGAGACGGTAGTGGTCTGGGATGGTAGTGTTGGGAGACCTAGGATGGTGGTGTTGGGAGACCTGGGATGGTAGTGTTGGGAGACATGGGATGGTGGTGTTGTGAAACCTAGGATGGTAGTGTTGGGAGACCTGGGATGGTGGTGTTGGGAGACCTGGGATGGTAATGTTGGGAGACCTGGGATGGTAGTGTTGGGAGATCTGGGATGGTGGTGTTGGGAGACCTGGTATGGTAGTGTTGGGACACCTGGGATGGTAGTGTTGGGAGACATGGGATGGTGGTGTTGTGAAACCTAGGATGGTAGTGTTGGGACACCTGGGATGGTGGTGTTGGGAGACCTGGGTGGTTGGGGAGACCTGGGATGGTAGTGTTGGGAGATCTGGGATGGTGGTGCTGGGAGACCTGGGATAGTAGTGTTGGGAGACCTGGGATGGTGGTGTTCTGAGACCTGGGATGGTGATGATGGGACACCTGGGGTGGTAGTGTTTGAGACCTGGGATGGTGGTGTTGGGAGACCTGGGATGGTAGTGTTGGGAGAACTGGGATGGTAGTGTTGGGAGACCTGGGATGGTGATGTTGTGAGACCTGGGATGGTGGTGCTGGGAGACCTGGGATAGTAGTGTTGGGAGACCTGGGATGGTGGTGTTCTGAGACCTGGGATGGTGATGATGGGACACCTGGGGTGGTAGTGTTTGGAGACCTGGGATGGTGGTGTTGGGAGACCTGGGATGGTAGTGTTGGGAGAACTGGGATGGTAGTGTTGGGAGACCTGGGATGGTGATGTTGTGAGACCTGGGATGGTGGTGCTGGGAGACCTGGGATAGTAGTGTTGGGAGACCTGGGATGGTGGTGTTCTGAGACCTGGGATGGTGATGATGGGACACCTGGGGTGGTAGTGTTTGGAGACCTAGGATGGCGGTGTTGGGAGATCTGGGATGGTAGTGTTGGGACACCTGGGATGGTGGTGTTGGGAGACCTGGGATGGTGGTGTTGGGAGATCTGGGATGGTAGTGTTTGGACACCTGGGATGGTGGTGTTTTGAGACCAGGGATGGTAGTGTTGGGAGACATAGGATGGTAGTGTTGTGAGACCTAGGATGGTGGTGTTGGGAGACCTGGGAGGCTGCTTCTCACTATATATCAGACATGGCTTCTTTTCCCGGAATTACCGCGTTTGAAGTTCTTGTTTGCTCCAAGGTTTTACTTTTCGTAAGTAAGACCTATTTCCCGGTTTTACTTTTTCCTCACTCTAAATTAACACCAACATTCAGATTCAGATGATATGTTAGTGTTTGAAATCAATTGAAAAATATCGTCAAAGATCAACTTAAATGTGCAAATCTTTTCCCTAGCAGGATTGGAACCGTATATTTTAGATACATAAGCGGACGCTCTACCTCACAGCCACCGGGCCGACAAAGAATGAGGATAGAATTATCTATTTATAGTTAGGCCTACTGTCATTCAATTGATTCTACTAGCGCTTTAGTTACTGTTATGTAGCTTCATTACATGATCATCTAATTATCCATCATTGACGGTTTATATGTATAATGAAGCACTCCTACTCGGTTATGGTTGGGAAAGTAAGCCCTCGACCATTAGGTGGAGAGAAGTAAGACCTCGAGCGCTACGCGCTCTCGGTCTTACTTCTCCCCCCTCCCCCACCCTCCAATGTCGGGTCTTACTTTCCCAACCATAACCTCGGTTTCAGGTTCATATGCCAAGTGTTGAAATATTTATACTGCGGATCTTAAAACCTTCAAAACCTGAAATTATTCAAATCAATAAATTGAGTTATCACAAACTCTAAGAGTTTATTGGGGCGGTGGGGTAGCCTAGTGGTTAAAGCGTTGGCTCGTCACGCCAAAGACCCGGGTTCGAATCCCCACATGGGCAAAATGTGTGAAGCCCATTTCTGGTGTCCCCCGCCGTGATATTGCTGGAATAATGCTAAAAGCGGCGTAAAACTAAACTCAGTCATTCAGTCAGTCTAAGAGTTTATTCGTTACGTCTGTTTTCGTGCATCGCGGTTATATGAGTGAATGTCGCTTTCATCTCCGGAATGTTTCTTCATTGCTCAGTGTAATCTCCTCGGCTGCTGATATTGGCGCGCCAGAAACCTGTACTCCTGGGGTTTAAATCCCGGATCTCCTGATTATACATTTTATTTGACTTCACCATACTTGTGATTATGGTTTTCACCAAGGGATTAACCGTCTAAGATATGCATGAGTTGTGAAGCTGCCACCCGCGAAACGAAATCATAACCACGAATAAAACAACAAACCTGTCACTCACTCACTCACTCTGATTTCCAGGGCTAACGATGGAAGGTACACAGTAAGTAAACCCATGCGGTTACAGGTCACCAATGTCTATGACGTCGCTCCCACCATCACGGCCAACAGTATAGCACTTCCGGAGGGGACACCTGTAGGGACCGATATTGGCACCGCCTTCACCGTGGTAGATGTGGAGGAGGGGGATACTTTGACGTTCGCTATTTCTGGTAAGTTCAGAAAGTCTTCCGAGGGTAACGGGTCATTTTACCCCAAACACGTTCACCCCAGGACATTTTCACCCCAGGACAGTTTCACCCCATTTAGAGGTTGTTTCACCCCAGCAATAAATATTATTATTATCAACTATAAAATTATCGCTGGTTGTATGTTCAGAACCTCCCCTCCTGGAACCGTTTGCAACAACAGCAAAGGTCGCTTCTTCTGGAGTTTCAATGAAGGTTTCCGATGGCTCTGGTTGGGGTGAAACAACTCTTAATTACGGGTGAAACCCCTAATATGGGATGAATTGACCTAGTTTGGAATTGGGATGAAACAACCCGGGTGAATCGACCCAGGTGGACCGGAACCCTTCCGAGCCGTTGTTAGTCGAATATTTGTGTCACTTCATCAGTTAGAGGATGTCGAGTAGGTCGAATGATGACGAATACTGTCCCACCCTACCAGTAGTACCTGCTCTGAAGTCCGAGGCCGCTATTCAGTATGGCCTCGAACATGAACAGCCTTTGACAATAACATATTATAACACTTGGTACGTCTGTTAATTCCAAGCACGTTACAAAAAAAACGTCTAACAGACAACCTTCGATTTTGATAGTAGTCAGGCACCTAATCGCCTGCACACCGCGATTTCGATAAGCTTCCACGGTGGCTGAGCGGGTTAGACGTCTGACTTTGTGTGCTGGCTATTAGGTGCCTGTCTCTAAGGGTGTGGGTTCGAATCCCGGATTGGACCCAGATATGATATAAGTTCCATTTGACCACTTTCTAAATGGCATTAGGCTTTTTATATATGATTTAGTCCGTATTTTCTCGTAGTTGTTAACGTCATCGGCAAAGCTGTACGTCGTTGAACGTTACTCGCGATCAGTTAAGTCACCGAGTCTGACTGACCGATACTTTCAGTACCTCATTACGAAAAGAATATGTAACAGGAACCCTGACGGATGTGAGGGAGTGAGTGAGTTACGTTTTACGCCGCTTTTAGCAATATTCCAGCAATATCACGGCGGGGGACACCAGAAATGGGCTTCACACATTGTGTCCCGTGGGGAATCGAACCCGGGTCTTCGGCGAACGCCTTACCCACTAGGCTACCCCACCGCCCCTGACGGATGTGAACGGAATGTCTACTGAACCATGGAGGCATGTCGAAACAAGTGGAGTTATTTCACTGACGACATTTCAGCCATGTCCATTATAAAACGTTTGTTTCAATTTCATCTAGATATATTTGTTCAAGATGGAATGACCTGAAATAGAAAGTTCTTCACTAACACTCATTCTCGTGGCCTGTTAATCGATAAATATAAAACCTATTATAAATCTGAAATATTCTGATGAGTGGACTGCAGGAACAATAATTATTTATGGAAACATTCCAATGTATAAAATCATTATTAACTTCATGCAGATATTGCCACAGTGTCACAGTAATCTGCCTTTATCACTATGTTACTCATATTTCCAGGTTCACACTCGGATTTCTTGTCCTGTGATTCCTCTAGTGGGCGAATCACCATCACGAAAATTATGGACTCCGAGGCGACCACTTTCGACTACAGTGGACTTTCACTAACCGTTACCGATTTGGGAGGCAACCAAGCAACATCGACGTTCGACCTGACAATCTCTGACTACAACGACAACATTCCAACGTTTTCCCAGGACTACTATGAAGTCACCATCGACGACGGTTCTTCTTCAGGTATACATATACTGCATCTAAATGTGTTAAAGTAATGCGATCCGTCTGAAATAAATCATACATTGAAGGTATAATACTGACGTTGACGTCATGTAAGCATACCACTGACGTCGCATATGTATAATACTGACCCTGTCGGTATGTATGTATAACACGGTTCCCCACCGTTATATATACATAATAGTGATGATGCCTTCATGAAGTAAACTACTGACGTTGTACTAGTGAGATATAATAGTGACGTTGTGCCAGTGATATACAACTCTGACGTTGTGTTAGTGAGATATAATACTGACGTTGTGCTAGTGAGATATAATACTGACGTTGTGCTGGTGAGATATAATAGTGACGTTATCTTAGTGAGATATAATATTGACGTTGTGCTAGTGAGATATAGCACTGACGTTATCTTAGTGAGATATAATACTGACGTTGTGCTGGTGATTTATAATAGTGACGTTGTGCTAGTGAGATATAATACTGACGTTGTGCTAGTGAGATATAATATTGACGTTGTGCTAGTGAGATATAGCACCGACGTTGTGCTAGTGAGATATAATATTGACATTGCGCTAGTGAGATATAATATTGACATTGTGCTGGTGATTTATAATAGTGACGTTGTGCTAGTGAGATATAATAGTGACGTTGTGCGAGTGAGATATAATACTGACGTTATGTTAGTGAGATATAATACTGACGTTGTGCTAGTGAGATATAATATTGACGTTGCGCTGGTGATTTATAATAGTGACGTTGTGCTAGTGAGATATAATACTGACGTTGTGTTAGTGAGATATAATACTGACGTTGTGCTAGTGAGATATAATACTGACGTTATGTTAGTGAGATATAATACTGACGTTGTGTTAGTGAGATATAATACTGACGTTGTGCGAGTGAGATATAATACTGACGTTATGTTAGTGAGATATAATACTGACGTTGTGCTAGTGAGATATAATATTGACGTTGCGCTGGTGATTTATAATAGTGACGTTGTGCTAGTGAGATATAATACTGACGTTGTGCTAGTGAGATATAATACTGACGTTGTGCTAGTGAGATATAATACTGACGTTATGTTAGTGAGATATAATACTGACGTTATGTTAGTGAGATATAATACTGACGTTGTGCTAGTGAGTTATAATACTGACGTTATGTTAGTGAGATGTAATACTGACGTTATGTTAGTGAGATATAATACTGACGTTATGTTAGTGAAATATAATACTGACGTTGTGCTAGTGAGATATAATACTGACGTTATGTTAGTGAGATATAATACTGACGTTACGTTAGTGAGATATAATACTGACGTTGTGTTAGTGAGATATAATTCTGACGTTATGTTAGTGAGATATAATACTGACGTTGTGCTAGTGAGATATAATACTGACGTTGTGTTAGTGAGATATAATACTGACGTTGTACTAGTGAGATATAATACTGACGTTGTGCTAGTGAGATATAATACTGACGTTATGTTAGTGAGATATAATACTGACGTTATGTTAGTGAGATATAATACTGACGTTATGTTAGTGAGATATAATACTGACGTTATGTTAGTGAGATATAATACTGACGTTATGTTAGTGAGATATAATACTGACGTTATGTTAGTGAGATATAATACTGACGTTATGTTAGTGAGATATAATACTGACGTTATGTTAGTGAGATATAATACTGACGTTATGTTAGTGAGATATAATACTGACGTTATGTTAGTGAGATATAATACTGACGTTATGTTAGTGAGATATAATACTGACGTTATGTTAGTGAGATATAATACTGACGTTATGTTAGTGAGATATAATACTGACGTTGCT